CGCCGCCCCCGCCCCGTCAGGGGACGCTTTCATCCTGTGAAAGGCCTCATGCTCCTGCCGTGCCCCACCCCCCACACCCCTTTTGCGCCCCGCTTGTGGCTCGGTGGCGGCGTGTGGCGTATACACCCACCGGTACGCACCCGCGGCAGACTCGCACAGCAGCAACTGCCATTGATGATGAAAAATTAACCACGCCAAGCTCCCCGCCCTGCTGCTCTCCCCCTCCTTCCCCTCCCCGGTCGCCTCGGGCGCCCCTGGTAGGTGGTGGCGGCGCGCAGTGGTGGGTGCGCCGCCGCTCGCCGCGCTGCGCCCCCGTCATTGTCAAACTCGTTGTTGCTGCAGCGGCCCCACCCCCACTGCGTAAACATGTTACGCCTACCTGCACAGTCATTTCCTACGGGGCCCGCTGCGCCCACGGCGGCACGTGGCATGGGCGTGGCGGGGCGTGGCGGGGCGTGGCGGGGTGCAAGCCACAGAGTCACCCCCTGGCACAAAAGAGGATTGGGGCCGACGCTCCTGTGCGCGCGTGCGGTGGTGCGGCGGCGGTGGTTGTGCAGGAAGCCCATGGGGGGCGGGAGACTTTAAATAATTGAAATGCAAATAACACATGCAGAATTTAACGGCGCGGCTTGCTGGGGGTGAAAGTCTTTTGAGTCGGGCGGCGCCGTTGCTCGCTGCTGCTGGTGCCGAGCCGGATGAGATGATGACCGTCGTCATGATTCTCGCTTTCATTCAGCCTCATTACGTAGCGAAAAATGAAATAAAATCGGGCTTAATGGTGGTGATTGGGCGCGACTCGCAACTTGGTTGACGAGGACGTTGAGTTTCCCTTTTTGTTCCCTTTTGCTGCTGCTGCTGTGGCTCGCGCTGGCGGGCGGTTTCCCCAGCGTTGCGGCGCGGGGCAGCAGCAGCGACAGCGAGATTTTGAAAAGGAGAAGGGGAGGGGGTAGGCCGCCAGCAGTGCACCGTGCAAAGTGCCACGTCACTTCGGGGAGGTGCCTCATCACGGCCTGCGCTCTCAGCCCCCCCCTCACTCCCCCATACTCTACCGTGATTGCAGGCGCGCGCTTTGGCTTTCCGGCGCTCGTGTCGCTGTGTATGTGTGTGTGTGCGCGCGCGCGTGTGAGATGCGTGTGTTAGTGTGCGTGTGGGGTCTGTGTGTGTGTGAGAGCGAGAGAGAGAGATGTGTGTGTGTGAGCGCTGTTGTGCGGGGAATTAGAGATGGTCTGATTGGAGGTAGCGCGGTTGTATGGAGAGAGAGAAGGGGAAGGGGGAGGGGGGCGAGCGGGTTTTGTGCCAAGATCAGAGCGGCGGTACGGAGACGGTAGCAGGGCGGCGATAGCGAGTGTCAGGGAGAGGAGGCGGGGCTCTGAATGGCAAACCGTCTCCTGATCTCCCTTGCCTAAATGTACGTGCGTGCAAGAGAGAGGCAGACTGGCAGACGTACGGGCCTGATGCCCATGCCAGATGAGGAGGGGGGAAGGGAGTGGGGAGTGGGCACTGCATAACAAGGAGTTGAGTGCACCCGAGTAACTATAATACCGTGGGCTATCTGCAACATCATGTCATTTTCCCTGCACCGCCCTGGTTGCCGAGCTTACTACCCGTCGGCGCCGCAGTCCGCTCTTCGTTGTGCCGAGGTGTGAGGTGTGGATCCGAGCGAGACATCATGATCATGCTGTTGAGGCGTCTTCACTTTCTGTCTCTGTCTTCTTACCCCCCTCCCCCTATGTCCTCTCTCCCGCTCGTTTGGTGGTCCCCGTAAAGCTGCCGGGGTTCCGGCCGAGCCGGCGTGGGGTGCGCACGCCTCCACGTCGCTCCGTCTTCTGCTTCGTATTTTGTTGGTATAATCTCAGCTCTCCGAGTCCAATTTAGTATCAGTGAATCGGCGTTGTGCCCGCGAGTGTCTGTGCAAAGTGCTGTGTCGATCGGTTGCGGGGTTCGCGAGTTATTAGTGATTTTGTGTTTCGCCCTTTGTCTCACACGCTGAGCGTCATCTGGAGTGCGCAGCTGAGGGGCCCGGCGGCAGGGCCCGCCCGACGAGCCCCAGAATTTTACGGCGCAGCGGCGCAGCCCAGCGTCCCTGTCGCAGCGGCCCCCTCTGGATTTTGGATTACAGTGTTTCAGCGTTCATTGTAGTGTCCAAGTGAGTAGTGCAACGTCCAAGTGGTCACAGCAGTGTCCGGCTGGTCAACGCCTCGTCCATATCTGCAGTGCAGGTGCTGTTCAAGTGTCTCGACGCGCAGCTCTTAGCGCCCGGCGTGCCCTGGTGCAGTGTGCGTGAAGGTGTGGTGTCCAATAGTGTCCCTACCCTACCTGCGTTG